GTACAAATATGGATCTCTTCCAGTCAGTTGGCCAGGTATTGTCTTTAAAATTTCTTGGCATAGACAAGTGTCTCCAGTGTGGCATCCATTTGTTGAAACATCTCAGTGGGTATTCTGTCAGTTCCTGGAGCTTGTTCTTTGCCAATTCCTTCAGTGCAGCTTTGATTCTTCCTTCCATACCATTGGTTCTTGTTCATATGCCACCTCCTGAAATAGATGAACATCGACCAATTTTTTTAGTGCAGTGACACTATTTCTTCCTTCTTGTTTTGATGTTTCCTGCATCATTCAGTGTTTTGTTCGTGGAATCTTTCAATACTGCAACTTGAGCCTTGAATTTTTCCTTCAGTTCTTTCAGCTTGAGAAATGCCAAACATGTTCTTCCCTTGTGGTTTTCTAACTCCAGGTCTTTGCACATTTCATTGTAATAATTGACTTTGTCTTTTCAAGCTGTTCTTTGAAATCATCTGTTCAGCTCTTTTATCTTGTAATTTCTTCCATTTGCTTTAGTTACTCTCCATTCAAGGGCAAGTTTCAGAGTCTTTTCTGACATCCATTTTGGTCTTTCCTTCCTTTCCTGTCTTTTTAATGACCTTTTGCTTTCTTCATGGATGATGTTCTTGATGTCGTCCCACAGTTTGTCTTGTTTCCAGTCATTGGTGTTCAATGCATCAAATTTATTCTTTAGATGGTCTCTAAATTCAGGAAGAATAGAATCAAGGTCATACTTTTGCTCTTGTGGACTTTTTTAAATTGTCTTCAGCTTCAAGTTGAAGTTGCTTATGAGTAGTTGATGGTCTGTTCCATAGTCAGTTCCTGGCCTTGTTTTGGCTGACGATATTGAGGGTCTCCATTGCCTCTTTCCACAGATGTAGATGATCTGATTCCTGTGTACTCCATCTGAAGTTTTTTTTTTTTTTTTTAACCAATAAGCAGCATCACAATAATGGAGAAAAGAATGAAGTTGTCAAAGATTTCTTATTACTTGATTCCACAGTCAATACCAGTGATAGCAGCAGTCAGGAAATCAGATGATATATTGCACTGGGCAAATCTGCTGCAAAAGACCCTTTGCTGAAGAGCAAAGATGTCTCTTTGAAGATTAAGGTTCACCTAGCCCAAGCCATGGTGTTGCAAAATGCCTCATATGCATGTGAGAGCTGGACAGTGAATAAGGAGGATCGAAGAAGAGTTGATGCTTTTGAATTGTCACGTTAGTGAAGAATACTGAAAGTACCATGAGTTGCCAAAAGAACTAACAAATCTGTCCTGGAAGAACTGCGGCCGGAATGCTCCTTGGAAGCGAGAATGCCAGACTTTGTCTGACCTACTTTGGTCATGTTGTCAAAAGGAACCATTCCCTGGAGAAGGATATCATGCTTGGTAAAGGGGAGGGTCAATGAAAAAGGGGAAAGCCCTCAATGAGATGGATTATACAGTGGGTGCAATGATGGGCTCAGGAATAGCAAGGATCGTGAGGCTGGCACAGGACCAGGCAATATTTCATTCTCTTGTACATAGGGTCGCTATGAGTCAGAGCCAACTAGATGGCACCTGTTGTTGTTGTTGTTGTTGTTTGCCATCGAGTCGGC